GGGGGTGCGCGGCCTGTGCGGGCCGAGGCGGCGGTTGGCGGTTGGCGGTGGACGGGCCTCGGTGCCCCCGGCCTGCCCCTCCGGGCCGGCTGTTCCGTTCCTGGGGCTCTTTGGTTCCGAGCAAGGACACTGAGACCCGGAAGGCGCCCTCCTTGACGTTATTGTTGCAGCCACGATCATTTTTTCCCGGCGCTTTCGCATCAGTTCGTCCTTCCAGGGTCCTCTGGGGTGACGGGCTGCTAGGGCCCAGAAAGGAAACGGAAGCCCAGGGAGGCGAAAGGGTCGACTTCGCAGGTTACCGAGTGCATTTGTATCCGCTGAGCAAGTTGGACCCAGCAGCGGGTGGGAAAGGGAGGCCCGCGGTCACACCCGCTCCCAGACTAGAACAGCTGCCCTTGCAGGCCCAGGCAAGCCCAAGTAGAGGCCCGGACGGTGGCGATTGTCAGGGAGCTGGAATTGCGAGTTCTCGTTCCTGCCTTATCTGCAAGGTGTCTTTCTCCTCGCGGGTGTTGGAAGGGGTCTTTCTAGCACGCAGCTGGCCTCACGCAAGGGGCGACCAAGCAGGAAGACCAGACGGGCCGTCTCCATCCCTTTGACTCCCCGAACCCCTGGCTTTGCACAGTGCTTGCGGCAGAGTGGCAGCTGCTCAGCTCGGATTGGTTGAATGAAGTAAGGGTTGGAGGACTATCCACTGGCCTAGCCTGGGTCCTGCACTATTGGCCTTCGGCTGTGTTGGGCCTTGGGCTTGGAGCAGCATCCTGGGCCTCCACTCACGGGGTGCCAGTCGCAAGGTTTCCCCGCCAAGTTGTGACAGTCGAAAATGTCTTTGCCAAGTGTTGCTTAAGGGGACAGAATCCATCGCCGTCCCCACCCCTGGTGGAGAGCCGTCAGTCGGGGGCCTTCTAGCCGTTGGGACTTCACAGACATCAAGTTGATATAAATAAAGCTGGAACGCACTGTCTTGGGGGCTATTGTTACTGTTACTGTTCAGTTCACCTGTTTCTTCTTTGAATGAGAGAGACAAGACAAGGTATTGGGGAGTCTGGATTCAGCCCCCAGCCCCAGCCCCAGCCTCAGCCAGCCCTGCATCATCGGCAGGGGCTTCCCTGGCTGTTCCGGGAGGCCTTTGGATGTGTACCCAGAACCTTCCATGTGGGTCAGGCTTGCAGAACATCACATTTTATTGCTGCACCAGTGCTTGGCTCCATTTTTGGTTTTTGTTTTTAAAAGAAACCACCTGCTATGTCCATATTGTCATGAAAGGAGAGGACGTTCCCTCTCAAAAACAAACAAACAAACAAACCAGGAAGGATGTACTGTCAGAGTAAAGAGGCCTTGGTATTTATGCAGGTGTGTGTCAGTTGTACAGCGACGCTTTGAGTGGGCTAGATCCCTGCATGGGGTCCCTTTTTTATGTTGACCTGAGGTTGCTTCAGGGCTCAGGTCCCTCTGTTCCACCTGCATCAAAGCTGGTGACTCAGAGCCATGCAAAAAAAAAAAAAAAAATCCTTGTGGTTGTCTTGAAAATAAACTTGAGTGGCTAGAGGTAGTGTGTCCTTCAGTTGAGAGGGAAACAGAATCTATGAGAAGAATACTGGGTTCATTCCTTCCAAATGGGTAGAGGGAATTGTGAATCTTGCTACCTTGTTCTGCGGGCTTGTGGGGAGTTGGGGAGGGGCTGGATGGGCAAATTCGCCTGCGGATAGCTTAGTTTTTTACAGGCGAGGTGGTATGTACCTGTAATCCCAGCTACTCTGGATGCTGAGACAGAGGGTGGGGAGTTCAAGGCCAACCTGGGCAACACAGTGAAACCTCGGCACTTGAAAGAAAGAAAGAAGGAAGGAAGGAAGGAAGGAAGCAAGCCAGCCAGCCCTGATCTTTTTCACTTTCGTGTAGTTTACAAAGTCTGTGTAAACTATCCAAAATAAATAAACTAGCTTTTTCCAAGGCAGCTCTCCCAGCAGTGTACTTAGGCATCCTTACCCAGAGGCTCGGCTGCTTTTATGACCACTCGTGCAGCAGCGCCGATGTCCTCAGACGCTCTGAGGCGCTTTTGGTGCAGGGAACTATTCTCTTTTATTTCTGGACAGAACTTCAGCTCCTGCCTGGCAAGCTGAGACCTTTAAGTTTCTTATCACCTTCAGAAACTCTTTGGTGGTGGTGTGGGGGGTTGTGTTGAAGGAGGATGTTTTGGGGTTACGTTGATGCTGAAGTAGGTGATACAGGTTGACTATCCTTTCTCTGAAATGCTTGGGGCCAGCCTGTTTCAGATTTTGGATCTTGGAATACTTGCGTACGCATAATGAGGTACCGTGGGAATGGACCCAAGTCGAGGCGTGAGATGCATTTATGTTTCATAAGCACCTTGGGCTCACAGCGCAAACCGAATCCGATCCACTATCTATATATCGTAGCGCCTGGACTGTGACCTTTCCCATGAGGTCAGGTGTGGGATTTCCCACTTGCGGCATCCACTTGGTGCTCGAAAAGTTAGATTTTGAAGCATTTGGGGTTTCAGATTTTTTAGAAAATATTTGTTATTAATCATGTCATTCTTTTTTGGGGGAATTATTTTATTTTAACTGTTTTTATTTATTTTAATTTGACTAGAGAGGAACAGAGTGAGAGAAAGAGAGGGAAAGTGAGGAAGCAAGTTGCTGGGTCCAGACCGCGGTCGGCCAAGTGGGAGCCCGGCGCCCTTACCCAGCACGCCCCCGGGTTTCAGATTTTCTGATTAGGCCAGCTCAACCTGTGCAGGGTTTTCTTCATCCTGCTCGCTCTGTCCTGCTACTGTAGCCATTGGCCACAGTCGGACAGATGGTTGGATCCCGAGCTAGGACTGCAGGCCCAGCCTGGGACGAACCTCTGCCGGCACAGAGCTGGCATTCTGTTAGGGGAACACAGAAAGAGGACAGGCTCAGTGTAAGAGCCGGGAAGGAGACGAACAAGGCGACGGTGCCTGGGCGCCATCTCTCACCCAGTCAACGTCTCCCACCAGATCCATCTTTGCCGTGGGGTTCCGCATCCCGGACCTCTTCCCGGTAGGCGAGAGTAGCACCCTCTCAAGCCTTGGCCTCCTTGTGACAACCAAAACTGTCTCTAGGCAGTGCCACACGGCCCCCAGGGGCGGGGACCAGCTGGACCCCACCGGAGGCTCACCGTGTGTATTTGCCGTGATTCCTGCCGTGTTCTGATGTGCCCTCTGCCACTTCCCTTCACAGCCATGAGCTGCAAAGACCGACCAGCCTTTCCGGTGAAGAAGTTAATCCAAGGTAAGCCTGGGGGGCCTGCAGGGGCTGGAGGGAGGAAGACGACGGGGCCTGTCCCGGGAAGCTGGAGACCCGGTCTCCTGAGGCCACCCGCCCCAGCCCTGAGGTGCTGTCACTTTTCTCCTGGGGCTGTCCTGCCTGTGGTTGGAGTGTGGCCGCGCCGGGGGGAGACGACCAGCACTGTCCCCAGACACTGCCGGCCTCCCTGGGGCAGAGCTGCCCCGTGGAGCGCCCCCGATGCCCGGAAGACAAATGCCCCCACACCTGCGTGCAGAGCAGGGAGTGTATTTCCGAACCTTTCAGCCCCATGCATGCTGTACCCAGAGAGCTCCAAACAGCAGGAGGCGTGTTTAAAGTGCTGGACTCCCACGTGGCCGGCCGGGTTGGAGTACCACTCCTGGTGGCTTGAGCTCATGCATGCGTGCTCAGAATTCCAAGAGGAAACGGGATTGCGGTGTGACCATTCCCCAGGGGGTGATATCTCACTTTCTCTCCATCTCTCTCTGTCTCTCCAGCAAGCACACACGCCCTATAGCAAAAAAGAGAGAGAACTGTGGTCTCTGGCCCAGCTGTGCTGGGAGTGTTTCTGCAAGGCTGTGCTCCACATGCTGGGGCCGCACGGGGGCCTAGGTTCCATTCCCCATTCGACCTGAAGGCAGGGTGTGGACTCCCAATAGCTCGGGTCGGCACGCAGAGGCAGGCGAATCGCCAGCCCCAGACTGGGCCCAGAGCTGGGCCTGCTAGCATGGGCCTTTCGAACCAGCTGGGAGGCTGAGGGAGGACCCTGACATGCGACACCCTGACTTTAAACACAGAACTGGGCCAGCAGGCGGCACGGAGGTTAAGGTGCCGAGTCCCACGCGGCCGGCTGCGTGGTTCAAGTCCCTGACTCAGTGGCTTGAAAACATGCTGGGCACCCGTGTGTGCGTGTCGGAATCCCCGGAGAACGGAGGAGAGATGGCGTGGCCATCCCCGTGTGGGTGACTCCGCAGTTTCCCCTCCCGGTGAGCGCACTGGTCTGCGATTTCCGGTCTCTAACACGCGAGCATCAGTCTGCTTTGCCTTGCCGTTTGCTTTCTGCTGTGACGGTTGAAAGCAGATCTTGTGTCTTGGAGATGACACTAAGGACAAAGCGCCTTAGCCCCTCAGGACATCCTTATTTTATAAACTGGATCTCGAGCAGGGATGTTCGTGGGCGAAGCAGCCAGTGAGAGGGGCTTGGCATCCAGGCCTTCGGGCTCAGCTCCCCTGGTTACTTTGTATCCCTTGGACCCGGCCTGGAGCCTGGCAGGCACTGCGAGGGCTGAGGAAAGGCAGCAGGGCCTCCACCTGGGCCGGGACAGAAATCTTTCCACAGCCCGCCCATGTGTCGCGCTCTTCAGAGAACAGTTACCTCAAGGCGCAGTTTCCACCCACTCTCACTCAATTTGGAATTTTAACTGGATCTTTTTGTAAACAATTGTTTTTGATTATTATTGTGTTTTAAAGTTTGCTATGGGGCACGTGTGTTTACCAAAGAGAGAGAAGAGAGGGGAAAGCGAGAAAGCGAGACCTACAGGTCTGCGGCTCAGAGCGTGGGTAAGGTGCCCACGGGAGTCCGGCACCGGCACCTCCACGGCCGCCACCTGCCGGCCCCGTATCGCCCCGTTTTAAACTTGAGCTGTTTCCCCTAGAAGCACCACAGGCTGATCGTTGTCATTGTCAGGTATGTGACATATTAAAGTGTCGTTCGAGGGCCAGCAGGTGGCATAGTGGTTAAGGCACGGGACTCCCACGTGGCCGACGGGTTGAGTCCCAGACCTCGTGCTTTCTCACTTTTCCTTCCTTTCTGTCTCCCTCTGGTGAGTGCACGTGCTCCATAATAAATTATTAATAGTAATAAATACATTTGACTAAAGAATTCTTTTAAAAATAAAGTATAGGGCACATGCCAGAGAGACAGGGGAGACGACCAGCACTGTCCCCAGACACTGCCGGCCTCCCTGGGGCAGAGCTGCCCCGTGGAGCGCCCCCGATGCCCGGAAGACAAATGCCCCCACACCTGCGTGCAGAGCAGGGAGTGTATTTCCGAACCTTTCAGCCCCATGCATGCTGTACCCAGAGAGCTCCAAACAGCAGGAGGCGTGTTTAAAGTGCTGGACTCCCACGTGGCCGGCCGGGTTGGAGTACCACTCCTGGTGGCTTGAGCTCATGCATGCGTGCTCAGAATTCCAAGAGGAAACGGGATTGCGGTGTGACCATTCCCCAGGGGGTGATATCTCACTTTCTCTCCATCTCTCTCTGTCTCTCCAGCAAGCACACACGCCCTATAGCAAAAAAGAGAGAGAACTGTGGTCTCTGGCCCAGCTGTGCTGGGAGTGTTTCTGCAAGGCTGTGCTCCACATGCTGGGGCCGCACGGGGGCCTAGGTTCCATTCCCCATTCGACCTGAAGGCAGGGTGTGGACTCCCAATAGCTCGGGTCGGCACGCAGAGGCAGGCGAATCGCCAGCCCCAGACTGGGCCCAGAGCTGGGCCTGCTAGCATGGGCCTTTCGAACCAGCTGGGAGGCTGAGGGAGGACCCTGACATGCGACACCCTGACTTTAAACACAGAACTGGGCCAGCAGGCGGCACGGAGGTTAAGGTGCCGAGTCCCACGCGGCCGGCTGCGTGGTTCAAGTCCCTGACTCAGTGGCTTGAAAACATGCTGGGCACCCGTGTGTGCGTGTCGGAATCCCCGGAGAACGGAGGAGAGATGGCGTGGCCATCCCCGTGTGGGTGACTCCGCAGTTTCCCCTCCCGGTGAGCGCACTGGTCTGCGATTTCCGGTCTCTAACACGCGAGCATCAGTCTGCTTTGCCTTGCCGTTTGCTTTCTGCTGTGACGGTTGAAAGCAGATCTTGTGTCTTGGAGATGACACTAAGGACAAAGCGCCTTAGCCCCTCAGGACATCCTTATTTTATAAACTGGATCTCGAGCAGGGATGTTCGTGGGCGAAGCAGCCAGTGAGAGGGGCTTGGCATCCAGGCCTTCGGGCTCAGCTCCCCTGGTTACTTTGTATCCCTTGGACCCGGCCTGGAGCCTGGCAGGCACTGCGAGGGCTGAGGAAAGGCAGCAGGGCCTCCACCTGGGCCGGGACAGAAATCTTTCCACAGCCCGCCCATGTGTCGCGCTCTTCAGAGAACAGTTACCTCAAGGCGCAGTTTCCACCCACTCTCACTCAATTTGGAATTTTAACTGGATCTTTTTGTAAACAATTGTTTTTGATTATTATTGTGTTTTAAAGTTTGCTATGGGGCACGTGTGTTTACCAAAGAGAGAGAAGAGAGGGGAAAGCGAGAAAGCGAGACCTACAGGTCTGCGGCTCAGAGCGTGGGTAAGGTGCCCACGGGAGTCCGGCACCGGCACCTCCACGGCCGCCACCTGCCGGCCCCGTATCGCCCCGTTTTAAACTTGAGCTGTTTCCCCTAGAAGCACCACAGGCTGATCGTTGTCATTGTCAGGTATGTGACATATTAAAGTGTCGTTCGAGGGCCAGCAGGTGGCATAGTGGTTAAGGCACGGGACTCCCACGTGGCCGACGGGTTGAGTCCCAGACCTCGTGCTTTCTCACTTTTCCTTCCTTTCTGTCTCCCTCTGGTGAGTGCACGTGCTCCATAATAAATTATTAATAGTAATAAATACATTTGACTAAAGAATTCTTTTAAAAATAAAGTATAGGGCACATGCCAGAGAGACAGAAAGTGAGAAATCACCCCCGGGGATGGCCACACTGCAGCCCCTTCTGTCGGGATTTTGGGCACACACGCACACATGGCCAGCGTGAGTTTCGAGCTGCTGGGTCTGGGACTCAAACTGCAGTTGGCCAGTGTGGGATTCTAGTGACGGAACCATTACGCCATCTGCTGGTCCCCGCCATCCTCCATTTGCCTAACAAAGCGGCCTCCTCCTCTCTCCGGTCCAGCCCGCCTGCCGTTCAAGCGCCTGAATCTTGTCCCAAAGGAGAAGACTGACGGGTCAGAGGACAGGAGAAGCTTGGTGGGCGCGTCCATGCAGGGCCCAGCCTGTGACTTAGAAACCTCTTTGGACAACTTGGAGAACGACTGTCATACGGATTCACGTGCAGACCTCGGATCCAAACTCGTCAACGGGAAGGGTCCCTTAGATAGCTTTACAGGAAGTGGAATTCAGGCCGAGGTTGGACAGGACGCCGTCGTAATCGACTTGACGGAGGACTCCAGTGACCAACTGGGCAGCACGGAGGAGCACGGCCAGCTGGATTCGGAAGCCTGTCCCCCCAGGGAGGCTGTGAACGGCGTTGCGGAACCCGCTGGTCTGCAGGCCTTCTCGGACGCCACTGGAAGCGACGAGTGGCCGTGTCCTTCAGAGACTCTTTTAGGCCTTCCTTGTAAGACAGAGGAGGGGGATGCTGGCTCTGGAGACACGGAGAGGCATGGTGCCGCTCAGGGACGCTCACATCAAGGCTGCCCCCAGCCCACAGGTGTCCTGAGAGCGCTCTCCGGAAAGGAACGAGGGGCTTGGCGTGAGGCCGGGGGCCTCTTGTTCAAAGGGAAGGTGCCCGTCGTGGTCTTGCAGGATATCTTGGCCGTGAGACCCCCCCCAGCCAAGTCCCCTCCCACGACACCCCTAGACAGAAGCACGACCTCAGAGAGTGAGGTGCTGGAATCTTGCCCTGAAGAAGACTCCGTCCTCAGCCCGTCGTCCCTGAGCTCCCCCTCTCCCACCAGCTCGCCCGAAGGGCCGTCTACCGCGGAGAAGCAGCACAACAGTGCCAGCCCCGGCCTTGCCTGCACGCCGCTCCACCAGGTGAGTCCCTCCCGTGGAGTCCCAGGCCGTCTGGGGGCGCCAGGTGGGTGGGAGGCAGATAGGGCTCTGGACTTCCACGTGCCCAACCACGGTTCGAGTCCCGGATATGGCGGCTTGCTTTCTCACTTCTCTCTCTGTGTCTGTCGCTGGTCAAATTAAATAAATGAATACATAAAACATTAAATAATCCTTAAAATAAGAAAAACATCCACGGGCAGGGGCCAGCAGGTCGCGTGGAGGTTAAGACACTGAATCCCTCCTGGCTGGCTCTGCCAGTGGCTTGGAAATCTCACGAGGCTCACGAGCGTGCATGCCTGAGATCTCGAGAGCTGCGTGGAGAGATTAGTGTGGCCATCCCCGGGGGCTTTCTCACTCTCTCCTCCTCCGGCTGCGCCTGGCGAGCACGTGCATCCTATAAGCTCCTTAAACAGTGCCGCACGCAGTTCCGTGTGCGTCGTGACACACCGAGGACCCGGGCCCTCCGTGGCGTGTCCAGTGTCACATGGGAACAGTGCCCGGCCATCCTGCACGCCTTCCCTGAGGTTGAGGGCCAGCTCACCCCTTCTGGGGAGTGAAGACCAAGCAGGCTGCTGGGACAGCCCGGCCTGGGGGGCAGGGTCGGCCCCCTCCGTCCCCACGGGGGTCGGCACAGTGCCAACCTTCTCCGTCGTCGCCCACCTTGGGGTCCGAATGGGTCAGCTGGCGAGATCAGCCCCGAAGCAGGTTTCGTGGTGTGTCTCTGTGCCCAGCTCTGTGGCATTTCTGTTTATTCTCGTGAGATCAGACCTCGGGATGGACTGCCCGAGCTCTCCCTGCTGCTTGACCTCACACTACCCCGGGATTGCTTTCTGAACTCTGATCTCTCCGGGTGTTTTTATTTTTTTAATCATTATTTTATTTAACTTAATTTGTTTATTAATTTTAATTTGACCAGAGAGGGACAGAGAGAGAGAGAGGGAGAGAGGGAAAGTGAGAAAGCAAGCTGCCAGTTCTGGGACTCGAACCATGGTCGGCCATGTGGGAGTCCAGAGCACTTAACCACCGCGCCCCTGCCAGCCCTGGGCGTATTTCTTTGCCTAAGAAACTCCGTTTCTCGTCCTTTCCTTCAGTCTCCTAAAGACAGCAGGCAGAAGGGAAAATGGCCTCCTTTTGTGTTTGCTGAACACCAGTCACGAACGGGGCTGGTCTTCCAAGTCCCTAGACAGGCCGGCGGCCCGTGCGTTTCAGCTCCTACCTGAGCCGTCCCTGCAGCTCCCCACGGGGGTTGGACCCTGTCAGCCACCGGCCACCTCGTTCTAGATACCCCGACGCTGGGCCTTGCTCGGGCGACCGCTGCTGCTTTGTAGAACGACTGGGTCATGTGACGTCCCGCAGCCCGCGAGCAGGCACGGTGGCCATGAGCGCGTCTCCGCTCTGCTCCGCTCCAGCCCCTCGCTACCTCCACAAGCTGTGAGGGCCCGTGGTCCGGCATTATCCTGAAACAATCTCACTTTGTTTTGAAAAGAATTATTCTTGCAGGGGGACCAGCAGATGGCATAATGGTTACACCACTGGACTCCCACGTAGTTGACCATGGTTTGAGTCCCGGACTCAGTGGCTTACACCAGGCACATGTGCATGCGTGCCCAAGATCCCGAGAGGAGAAGGGATTGCGGCATGGCCACCCACCCCTGCTGGGGGATGATTTCTCGTGCTCTGTCTTTCAGGCAAGTGCACACGCCCTATAGCAAAATCTCTCCTAAATAAAAAAACTCTCTCAAAAAGAAAAAGTAATTTTGGGAACCAGCAGTTAGCGTAATGGCTATGTCGCTGGACTCCCACGTAGTCGACCGCGGTTCGTGTCCCGGACCCGGTGGCTTAAAACTCACGCCGGGCGCGTGTGCGTACCCTACAGTGAAAATCTCTCCAAAAAAGTAATTTTTAATTTAATTTATTATTATTATTATTATTTGTAAATTGACCAGAGAGAGAGAGAGAAAGGGAAAGTGAGAAAACAAGCTGCCAGGCCCAGGACTCGAACCGTCTTTGGCCATGCAGGAATCCAGTGCCTTAACTACCACACCACCTGCTGGCCCCTACATTTCTTTTTAATTGCCAGCATGTGCTAACCAGAGACAGAGAGGGAGTTGGAGAAAGAAGGAAGCATCCCCTTGGGGCAGGAGCACCCCACAATCCCGTCTCCATTTCTTCTTTTTTTTTTTAAATAGGTTTTTTTTTTTTTTTTAATTTATTATTTGTTCACATTAGTTTTGCCAGAGGAAGAGAGACAGAGAGAGGGAGAAAGCAAGCCACCAAGTTCGGGACTTGAACCGTGGACAGCCATGTGGGAATTCCAGCACCTTAACCACCATGCCACCTGCTGGGCCCTGGTCTCCATTTCTCAGTCCTGTCGGGTTTGGGCACATTCGCACCCAGCATGTTTTAAGCAACCAGGCCTGGGATTCGAACTACTGTCAGCTGTGTGAGAACCGGCTCCCTTTACCACCAGGCTGCGGGGCCAGGCAGAGCAGTCTGACCTTCGTCTATTGCCGAGATGTTTCTCCAACAAGCGAGCCTAACGGAGGGAGTCCTGTCTGCGTGCTAGGCCGCCTCCGACTGTCGGCCTGGAGTTGCAGAAGACCGAGGAGGCGGCACTGCCGCAGGGGCCCACGCACTCCACGCCGCCGGGAGTGAAGGCTGGGCCGTGGCAGGAAGCGGCCATGCTGCCCACAGGCTAGTGTGGCTCAGAGTGGAAGCCGAGGGGCTGGCAGGGGGCGTGGTGGTTACGGCACCGGACACGCCCACGTGGCTAACCATGACTGAGTCCCGGACCTGGTGGCTTACTTCCTCCCTTTCCCTGTTTCTCTCTGTCTTTCTCTGGTCAAACTAAAATAAATGAATGAGTAAATAAAATGGAATAATTCTTAAAGAGAGAGAGTGAGAGAGAGAGTGCGAGAGTCGAGCCCCGTGTGTCATGTGAGGCTGACCATAGGACAGTGTAGCGATTTTCTGGAGTTCTCTGCGGGACTGGCGCTCCTGAGCCTGAGCCGGGCCGAGAGACACAGCTCCAGCCACACACACACCTCCCAGGTCATCTCTAAACTTTCAGGTGACCGTCCCCGACCCAGAGGGGTTTCAGGTTTCACAATATTCACTTGCCTGTACATCATGTGCTATTTTGGGGGTGGGACCTGGGCAGAGACGTGAAATTAGGGTCGGTCCTAGCCGAGTAAGGCAGCCAGGTCTCACATGGCTGAGCACCCGGTTCGAGTCCTGGACCTGGCAGCTTGGGAAACGCCCCACACGTGTGTGCATGTGTGCCCCAGATGTGAGCAGGGTGGAGAAACGGATGGGCATGGAGAGGGCTTTCTCCCTCTGTCGCCCCTCTCTCAGCAAGCTCTTGTGCCCTCTGGCAGGTAAAAAAGAGTTTAGGGTTTGGATTTTCTGACGAGGGAGCCAAGCATGCCCGCCTGTCTTGGTTTGTCTGGTGTGCTGGTTGGTGCCTGTCCCCAGCACCTCCCTGCCCCGGGGCCGATCTTCCCTAACCCGGCTACCCTCCCCTCCTCCTGCTTTCCCTCCATACTTCCTGGTGGGAACCGGTCAGAGGCTTGCAGGTCGTTCTGTGGGCTGTGCCCATGTGCCCGTGTGCAGCTCGCACCGAGGCTGTGTTGTAGACCCCCGCTGGAACCGCCAGGCCCTCCCTGGGCCCGTTCCGTGTCGCTGGGCCCGTGTGCGGCTCGCACCGAGGCTGTGTTGTAGACCCTCGCTGGAACTGCCAGGCCCTCCCTGGGCCCGTTCCGTGTCGCTGTGCCCGTGTGCGGCTTGCACCGAGGCTGTGTTGTAGACCCCTGCTGGAACCACCAGGCCCTCCCTGGGCCCGTTCTGTGCGCTTGCTTGCTTTTTTCTTGTTAGAAACACAAGGAAAGGGAAGCGTGATAAAACGCAGGCCCTACTGTGCTCTCCCAGGGAGCTTCATTTCATTTTACTCCAGGGATCTGGCAGGTCTGCTTCTGGACAGCGGTGATTTGGGGACCACCGGGTAGGGTGAGCCCAGGGTCTTTTGAACAGTCGAGAGTTTCTTTTTAGCATTAGAGCTTTTCCCACTCGGGAAAGAACCGCGCTAGACGGAGCGTGTGCTGTGTGTGGCTTGGCCCGTTTCTGGGTGCTAAGCAGTCGTTTTCCATAAGTGACAGTGTCGTCAGCTCACCTCTGCCAGGCAGGCCAGATTGCCAGAACGCTCCCCTGTCTGATGACACCTGAGGAGGCCCAGGGGTGGTGCAGCTGGACCCCCGTGGGAAGGGCTCAAGTCCATGTCCTAAGACCTGCCCGTGCACGCTGGGTGCTCACAGCGCATAGGCCCTGGTGGGGGTGTCTGTGTCTTGCTAATGAAATAAACTAATGAGAGAAAGTTTAAAAACAAGTGACACAAGTATTAAATTGTTCACGATTACAATGAAACAAATGTTAGAGCCCTCTGTAACCTCTCACTGCCCCCAGCTGCCAGGGCCATCACTCAGTGTGCAGTCTGAGCCCCTGCAGACACAAAGTATCGGTTTGTGTCCTTCTGCAGGCTGATGGGATACATAGTGTTCTCTCCTGTCCTTACTGAGGCTTGGTAAGTGTGTTTCTGTCTGGGGGAGGATCTCTGCTTGTTAGGGCTACATCAGCTTCCTCCTCTAGCCGCCTTGGGCTGTGGTTGAGCGGGGGCTGAGCCCCTGCCGGCCCGAGGAGCAGGCCTGCGTCGCCAGCTCGCTCTCCGCCCTGGCTGGCAGGGTGCTCTGCCTTCCCTCCCCGCTGTAGGTGTTTGGGTGCTGCCGCCTCCGGGCTGCTCTCTGACCTGAGGCTCTTTCTGTCCTTTAGTTTTAGTTTCACTGTGTACCAGAGAGCGAGAGCTCAAGCCCTGGGGCGGGGGCCAGCTGCGATGCCTTCTCCGTTCTCCCGCGGGATTCTGGGTCGGACGTTAGATACTCTTCTGTCTGACACCGGGGTAAGCGGGCTAGGGCGTCCCAGTGCCAGCCCTGGCGAGCCCTGCCTCGGGGCGCCATGGCGCTTGGTGTTTGTGTGTGACTTCAGGGACCCTGGGTCGTGTGTTGGCCACTGAGGTTGCGTGGGGCTGAGCGCTGGGTGGGTCACACGTGGCATATAGCATCTGATTTGGAGAGCGAGCTCCGCAAACACTGCGGGCGATTTCAGGAAGATACGGGTTCCACCAGGACCAGTCTGTGGCGCAGCCGTAGGTTGTCGGGGTGCGGAGCTGGAAGCCACATGCCGACCACACTTCCAGTCCCCGACCCCGTCAGCCTGCAGACGCACCGGGCACGCCTGTGCCAGGTTGTGGGGGACAGAGGGAGCAGATCACAACCTGACCTAGCCCCGTGGAGGGCACCCCCTTTCATGCATGCCTCACTTTGTCTTGAGTTTAAAGATGTATCTTGTGGGCCAGCAGGTGGCGTGGTGGCTAAGGGGGCCGGATTCCCACATGGCCAACTGTGGTTCAAGTACTGGACCTAGCGGCTTGCTTATTTATTTATATATAGCATTTATTTTAATTTGACCAGGGAGAGAGAGAGAGAAAGTGAGAAAGCCAGCCACCAGATCTGGGACTCAAACTGCAGTCGGCCGTGTGAGTCCAGCGTCCCTAACTGCCACGCCACCTGCCCCCCCTTCTTTCTGGTTTCAGGTTTGTCTGTTTTGCTAAAGGGCATGTGTGCCCTCACCGGGGGCGGGGTGGGGAGTGACAGCGTCCTCCGTGGAGGTGGTCTTGCCACATTCTCCTCTCCTTCTCTCCTTTGGGGGTTTTGGGCCTGCACGCACATACGCCCCGCGTTTCTCAAGCCTCTGGGTCTGGGGTTGCATCGGGCGATCAGCTATGCGGATGCAGCTCCTGTCAGCACCGCCCTGCGGGAACAGCCCTGCTTTCGTGTTTGCTGTAGGCCGTGTGCACGCTGAAGTGGGGGTGAGAGCACCCCCAGGGGAGATGGCCTTGATCCTCCATTTTCCTCCCAGGATTTTGGGCACGCGTGCACACACCTGGTATGTTTTTCAAGCTTCTGGGTCCAGGACTTGGACTGTAGTCGACTGTGGGACCCAGCTGCCGTACTCATTTTCTTTAAACCTGCCTCCCTGGGCTCTCTGTTTATCTCAAGCCGGACTCTCGCAGGTGTGCGTGTCCGCGTGAGCCCGTGTCCACGTAAACCCGTGCCCACCCTCACACGTCCCAGCCCGGACTCCCGCAGGTGTGCGTGTCCGCGTGAACCCGCCGCTCTCACATGTCCCAGCCCAGACTCTCGCAGGTGTGCGTGTCCGCGTGAACCCGCCGCTCTCACATGTCCCAGCCCAGACTCTCGCAGGTGTGCGTGTCCGCGTGAACCCGTGCCCGCCCTCACACGTCCCAGCCCGGACTCTCGCAGGTGTGCGTGTCCGTGTGAACCCGTGCCCACTCTCACGCGTCCCAGCCCAGACTCCCGCAGGTGTGCGTGTCCGCGTGAGCCCGTGCCCACTCTCACACGTCCCAGCCCGGACTCTCGCAGGTGTGCGTGTCCATGTGAACCCGCCGCCCTCACGTGCTGAGCCTGCTGCTCAGAGAACGAGTCACCAGGAGCGGCCCTCTGGCTCCGCACTTTGCAGGGAAGCTGTTGGTGGCACAGGGCACTCGTCCCGTCCTTCCCGGGAGCCTGCAGCACAGCCGGCGTGTGAGAGGGAGTGCGGGCTTCCTCGCTTACAGTCAACACCTTCCATTCCAGGTCACTAAGAGGACCGCCAAGGGCTCCACAGAGAAGAGCAAGCTGAAGCTGCAGAGAGTAAGCTGTGCCCACATCGGGAACTCGCCTCTGCGCCTTCGCGGGCAGTGGGCAGCCAGCCGCTGCCCCGGTCCCGTGGCGCCGCCGCCCTGCTTCCCTCGCGGTCGTGTTGCTCTTTGTTCAGTTTTCAGCACCTGAGCGAGGGGGTTGTGGATTGCATCATAGTTAGTTCCACTAAAGCCTACAGTTTTGCATGCAGCCTTTTTGTTTTTTTTTTGTTTTTATTTTATTTTGCTATAGGGTGCTTGTGCTCACCAGAAAGACAGAGAGACAGAATGTGAGAAATCACCCTCCAGGGGGGATGGCCACGCCGCAATCCCTTCTCCTCCGTTCTCCTCTTGGGACCTTGGGCACGCACGCACATGCGCCCAGCGTGAGTTTAAGCCACTGGGTCTGGGACTGGAACCGCAGTCAACTACATGGAATTCCAGTGACATAGCCATTACTCTAACTGCTGGTCCCAACATGTAGCCTTTTTTTTTTTTCTTTTTTTTTTTAAGGTTTTTGCCATAGGTCGCGTTTGTCTGTTGGAGAGAGACTGAGGGGTGAAGGAGAAAATGAGAAATCACCCCCCAAGGGGATGGCCATGTTGAGATCCCTTCTCTAGCCACGCCATGGGGTTTCTTCTTTAAGCCTTTGCCATAGGGCACGTGTGCTCATGGGAGAGACAGAGACAGAAGGAAAGTGAGAAATCACCGTCCCCCGTAGGGGTGGCCACGCTGCAACCCCCTCTCCTCCATTCTCCTCCTGGGATCTTGGGCACGCACCTGGTGTGAACTGCAGGCCAAGTGTCAAGCTACAGTCGGCTACGGGAGCCCAGCACCGTAGCCACGCTGCCACCTGCCAGCCCCGTCCTCTTGGGATTTGGGGCACGCACACACGCACATAGAGTTTTCAAGCTGCGAGTCAGCCGTGTGGGATCCGGCGTCTTGGCCACCATGCCACTGGCTGGTGCACTGCGACCCGTTCTTACATTTTTAAGTGAGTGTGTTCCTTTATTTCTCCCTTGAGAGACGGCACCCCACGAGTACCCAACAGGGTCCCCACACCATCCAGCCCCAGCCCATCAGGTCAGGGGCGTCTGTGCACACGCACACGCCCTGACATGCCCACGGCGGTCCCAGTAAGCCCTGTCCACTGTGGGGCCGGCTGTGCTCCTACACGGTGGCATGGCCGTGCTGCCGTCTGAATCCTCCGGCAGGCCACGGCGTAGCGAAGCCCTGGCGCACCTGGCCCTGGCCCTGCGCTGCCTCCCCTGTGGGCTCTCGTCCCTCCCAGCACAGCGTGGCTGGGCTGTCATGTGGCAGCTCTGAGGGCCTGCCGACGTGCCTGGACGTGGTGACAGGGGCCTTCTTTCTGGCCCTTCTCTTTGTTCGTTTTTTGTTTTCTCTTAGATTTTGCTGTAAGGTACATATGGTCACCAGAGGGAGAGAGAGCGGGAAAGTGAGAAAGCGCCCCCCAGGGCTGTGGCCTCACTGTAGTCACCCCTCTTCCTCCACGCTCTCGGGATGCTGAGTGCGCATGCACATGCACCCTGCGTGGTTTTTAAGCTGCCGGTCTGAGGACTCAAACCGGGAGTGTGGCCACGTAGAATGACTGCTCTGACCACGTCAGCGGCCAGCCCACGGGTGCCTCCTTTAATCGGATTTATTTCATTCTGTGAGTGCGTGAGCGAGACAGAAAGAGAAACAGCACCCCCAGCAGTGTCCTTTGAGGCCTTGGTCACAGCCACGGTGTTTAGGGGTCTCCGTGTGCAAACTGGGCACTTCCATGGGGGTCAACCTGCCTGACCTTTATGTTCTCGCCGCACCAATATCTATCCACTCCCACCCTTCGCTCTAATTAAGCTTAAAAGTAAAAACGGCGTGGCGTTCCAGGTAGCTAGATCCCACGTGGCCTGCTGTGTGGTCGAGTCCTGGAGCTCGTGGCTTCAGAAACATGCCAGGCACACGTGTGTGTGTGCATGCCAAGAGTCCTGAAAGGAGAAGTGGAAGAGGAGGGGTTGTGGCCTCGCCGTCTCCCCTGGGTGCTCATGCTCTCCACCTCTCTGTCTCTCCGTCTCTGTCTCTGACAAGTACATGTACCGTCTGGCAACATTTCAAAGAAATCAGCTTTATCCCTTGTCGAGTGGCCCACGAGGTGCTGTGCTGGGCAGCTACTTCTTCTCAGCTGGTTCATGACAAAAGGAAAAACCTCACTTTGCTGTGGTTAAGGACAGCGGGCTCCCACTTGGCCGAGTCTGCGAGTCAGGTCCCAGACCTGGGCCTAAAGCACGTGCCGGGCGAGGAGGGCTTACAGCATGGCCGTGCCCCGGGCGGCGATTTCTCACACTCTGTCTCTCTCTCCAGTGAGCACACATGCCCCCATAGCAAAAATCTCTCTTAAAATACAGCGAGGGTGTCCCGGGTGCCCTCTGAGCACAGCCCCCCGCCGGGTCCCGGTCTGCCCCGGGCCCTCTGCAGACGGCCACCCGCGTGTCTTGCAGGAGGCGGAGCGTCAAGACAAGCAGCTGAAGCTCCGAGCCGAGAGGGAGGAGAAGGAGAAGCTGAAGGAGGAGGCCAAGCGGGCCAAGGAGGAGGCCAGGAGGAGGAAGGAGGAGGAGAAGGAGCTGAAGGAGAAGGAGAGACGGGAGAAGCGGGAGAAGGATGAGAAGGAGAAGGCGGAGAAGCAGCGGCTCAAGGAGGAGCGGCGCAAGGAGCGGCAGGAGGCCCTGGGGTGAGTGCCGGCCGCCGCCTCCGCCTGCCGTCCTGCAGGCCAGCCCTGGGGGCAGCACAGAAGCAGGGGCTCCCTCTGTTCCCTGCCCTGACGTGAGGCGGAGAGAGCCCCGGGCTGTCTTCCTGGAACCCTGTTCCAACTTTCTAACCAAACAAGCTCTGTGGGGGACCAGCAGGTAGCGCCATGGTTACATCGCTGGACTCCCGTGTAGTCGACCATGGGTCCGAGACGGGACCCGGCGGTTTAAAACTCACGCCGGGCGCATGTGTGTGCGTGCCCAAGATCATGAGAGGAGGGAGGAGGAGGGATTGCGGCGTGGCCATCCTCCCTGGGGGTGATTTCTCGTTTTCTGTCTCTGTCTCTGTTCTCCAGCCAGTGCGCGCGCCCTGTAGCAAAAATCTCTCACAAAAGATCTGCCAGGTTATTTGGGGGGAGGGTTATTCCGTGAGGGGTGAGAGCATCCCCACCCGGGCCTCGACTCCATGACCACCGCCAGCTTCAGTCATCCTGGGTCATGGATGTGCGTGTGCCTGGTGCACTCAGAGAGGTCTCGGACACAGAGCGGAGCCTCCTTTGCGGGCTGGCCTACTGGAGCCTCGCCTTTCCCGCTGGCCGCCGTCCAGCCTCCCTGTGGCCTCGCGTAGCTCTCTGGGCGCCTGTGTCACTGGGGAGGGGAGAGGAAGACAGAGTGAGAGGCCGCCCTCCGGGGTGGCCACGCTGCAGTCCCTTGTCCATTCTCCTTAGAATTGTGGGCACGTACGTGCGTGTGCCTGGTGTGATTTTCAAGCCGCCATGTCTGGGACTTGAACCCTGTAGTCGGCCATGTGGGACCAGCCGCTGTGACCTGCACGCCCCCTGCTGGCTCATACAGGGACTCAGGCTCCGTCCGTGCCGTTGCGCCCTGGCCGACTGAGACGCCCTGGGCAGTCCCATCTGTCGGTCAGACCTGCCTGGCGAGGGCAGTCCGAGAGCAGGACGCACTCATGGCCCACACCAGCCACTGCCCCACCGTCCTGCGCTCGCCGCGTGCCGTCCGTCGGGACCACGGCAGGTGTCTCACCTTTCCCTTCCTGTGTCCCAGGGCGAAGCTGGAGGAGAAGAGGAAGAAGGAGGAGGAGAAGCGGTTACGAGAAGAGGAGAAGGTACAGGAGTGACCGGAGCGCCTGCCGCGGGCGAGGGCCAGGCCAAGGTCTCCCGGGGGTTCCCAGGGGCCACCTGCTGTTCCTTCCATCCTGGAGAGCTGGGTGCCACCCGGGGGTAAACTGGCTTTCTCGGCACTGGCGGTCTCCTGCCCGCTGGCCGGCGGGGTGTGCGGCCTCCACTCAGACGTGCTCGGTCAGCTCTGAGGCCCGCGGGCGTTCAGGGCCGCGCCGTCTCGTCATCTCTTCCTGGTCGTCTCCCCGCAGCGCATTAAAGCAGAGAAGGCTGAGATCACGAGGTTCTTTCAGAAGCCGCGGACGCCGCAGGCCCCCAAGGTGAGCGGCCGGCCTCCCGGGCCTCCCCTGTGTAAGCGCAGAAGGCTCTGTTCCGCTGGGTTGCCCTTCTCGGGGGCAGGGCCTCCTCTACGTCGTCAGGAACCTTAAAGAAATGAGTACTTGGGCCGGCCAGCGCACGGTGGGTCAGGCGGCTGGACCGCACTTGGCCGACTGCAGTTTGCAGAACACGCCAGGTGCGTGTGCGTGCGTGCCCGGAATCCTGAGAGGTGAGTGGAGAAGGGGCCGTGGCACGGCGGTCCCTCCTGGTGGCGGGAGCGGGTTCCTCACTTTCCTTCTCTCAGCAAGTGCGTGCGTGCACCCTGTGGCGGATCTTTAAAAGTCATTATTATTATTCGTTGTTCTTTCTTTCCTTTGGAGAGGTTGGCCCTGTGAGAGTCCAGTGCCTTAGCCACCACACCACCTGCCGGTCCTAAATGCTCTCCTGGGCCTGCTCGTGGCTGCGGGGCAGTGTGGGACAGGCAGCAGCTGGAGCCTGGCCCCGCCGTGCTCTGAGCTGGGGGTGCCTCTGCCTCGTGCTCAGGTCTCACATCTGGCCAATGGTTGTCCCAGAGCCATGCGCTTGCCGGAGAGGGAGCCAGCACCCCCAGGGGCCACGTCCGTGCTGCAGTCCCTCCGTTTCCCTCCTGGAAGGATGGGCCAGAGCTGGGACTCAGCCGTGGGGTCAGCCACGTGGGACCTAGCTCCCTGAACCCATCGGCCATGGAAGAGGGCGCGGCTTCCTGTTTTGTGTGCTTTTTCTTTCCATTTATTTATTTTTAAACAATTATTTTATTTAACTTTATTATTATTTTCTAGTTCGATCATACTGGGGTAGGGGGAGCGAGACAGCAAGCCACAGGTCCAGGACTTGAACCACGGTCTGTCACGTGGGAGCTGAGTCCCCCCAACCTCCACACCACCCGCTGGCCCCAGTATCTGTATTTTCACAAGTTGCCAGAGGCTGCGCGTGCCGGCCAAGAGAAAGCGAGGCATATTGAGGCGTGATTTCCGTTTCTTTACGTCTTGACAAGTGTGACCGTTGGGACCCAGATGCGGACTCCTGCATCGCCCCTGTGCTGGGGGTCCTAGGAGGGACCGTGCGTGCGGGCTCACTGTCCCGCGGCTTCTGCTTTCAGACCCTGGCCGGCTCCTGTGGCAAGTTCGCCCCCTTCGAGATCAAAGAGCACATGGCTCTGGCCCCCCGGTGCCGGGCCGCCTTGGACCAGGACCTGTGCGGCCGGCTGGACCAGCTCCTGCAGCAGCAGAGCGGAGACTTCTCCTTCCTGCGAGACCTCAAGGGCCGGGCGCCCCTCAGCTCCGGGCCCACCAGCGTCTCCAGCCGGAGTGCGGACATTTTCCACAGGTCGGAGCCCGGGGGAGTCCGAGGCCACAGTGGGGCCTGGCGCGGCCTCCGAGGCTGCCGGGCTCTGGGGGGCTCTCCCTCCTGTGCGGTGTCACCTGTCCTCGCTGACCCTCTGGCCCCGCTCAGCCGCATTCAGCAAACACCACAGCCGCCGGCCGGGCCCGGGGCCCCTTCCTCGTTCCCCGGCACCGCGCCTCCGCCTCCGCGGCTCTTGGGGGCAGGAGGGCCGCTGCCCGGGACTGGCGTCTTTCTAGTGGTGACCCCAACCTCCCCGAGCAGGCGCGTGCCTGAGTGCCTTCCGCCCCGCAGTGACGTCGTCATCGTGGAGGGCGGCCAAGGGGACGGCGTCCCCGAGAGGAGGAAGTTCGGCAGGATGAAGCTCTTACAGTTCTCCGAGAATCACCGGCCCGCCTACTGGGGGACGTGGAATAAGAAGACCACCGTCATCCGCCCGAGGGACCCCTGGGCCCAAGACAAGGTGAGCACGCGGCCGGCGTGAGGACCGGCCGCCCGCCCTCCCGGCTGCCCTCGCACACCACCCGCGGGTGCCCGACACACTCTGGCTCCTCCACGCGCCGCTTAGCCGTCAAGCCTCGAGACAACAGGGCCTGTTTCCCTTTCTCAGAAGCTCCTCGACTACGAGGTGGACAGCGACGAGGAGTGGGAGGAGGAGGAGCCCGGGGAATCCCTGTCCCACAGCGAAGGGGTAAGGACGCCCGGAGCAGTTCCTGCCAGGCCCCGGGCCGTCCCGCCGGGCGGCCTGTGTGACCTGCAGCACGCCCGCGTTGGGCTCCCAGAGTCCCCGCCGGTCTCAGACACCTCACCTGGCGGCGCTCCCCGGCTCGGCGGCTGGCGTGGACACGAGCCTCATGGTGCTGCGCTGCTCCCCCGCCCCTGCCGTGCCCCTTTCTGGAGAGTGGCCGATTGGGCCTGTCGCCCCACTGACCCTCGTGTCCACAGGAACAGCACGGCGTGCTCCGTGTGTGTCTTTCCCAGCAGTGAGACAGGCAGAGGTAGAGAGGCAGCCTTGGGGCCCCCACTGCATCCCCGGCCAGCATCGTGGGCGTAGCGTGCTGCCGACACGCTGCCACGTGGGTCTTTGGTTTCGTTTTTTTTCCCTAGGTTTTTGCCATAAGGCCTGTGAGCTGGCCAGGGAGAGAGAGACAGAGAGAAAGGCCCCCTGCTCCTGGGGCAAGGCCGTACACAGCTCCTTGCCAGGGGTTTTGGGAGTCCACATGCGCCCACCAGGCCCGGGGCTGGCGCCGGCGCTGGCCATGTGGGAGCCCAGCGGCTGGAGCTCCGCGCCGCCTGCGGGCCCGGTGCAGTTGTCAGTATGCCTGTTCCACACCCGAGTCCCTGTCTGTGCGTGACGAGACCCTCTCTCCTTCTCCGAGGACGATGACGACGACGCGGGGGAGGACGAGGACGAGGACGATGGCTTCTTTGTGCCCCATGGGTACCTGTCTGAGGACGAAGGTGTGACCGAGGTTCGTGGCTCAGCGCGGGGCGGCGTCTGACCTGCGGGGCGGGCGCCCCACCTGGGCCTCGGCCGTGGGTCCATTTGTGGAAGAGGCTGGCCCGGAGCCTGGCCCTGCCTGGGAAGGTGGCAGAGCCGGCATGGGTCGGAGGAGGCGCCGGGTGCCCAGTGCCCCGGGCAGACACCCGGGGAGGGGTCAGGCCTGCGGCCTCGAGGCTGTGAGCTCTTTGCTGAAGGTGTAGCCCTCACTCTGCGTGTAGTGCTGTCTGTCGAGTTTTAGTTACTTTCATCTGCCCTGGGGTGTGTGTACTTGGCAGGGAGGGGGACCCCAAGGGGCTATGGCCACACTGCGGTGCATCCTTGAGATCTGGGGCATGCACACACATGCACCTGGCGTGTTTCTCATGCCACATGGCCAGCACTTGAGTCAGAGTCCGCCGTGTGGGATCCAGCCACTTGAACTGCCACACCACCGGCCCCCACTCCCCTTTTTAAGAGATTTCTGCTGTAGGGCGCGTGACAGGCATACCGAAAGCGAGAATCCACGCCCTGGGGATAACCACACTGTAATCCCTTCTCCATTCACCTCTTGGGATTTGGGGCGCACACAGGGGTGTGAGTTTTAAGCTACCGGGAGTCCAGTGACAGGACCATCCCGCCACCTGCTGGCCCCACGTAAATGTGACTGTCACATCAGTTGCGCTATCTTCTCATCTTTTAGAGATTTTCGCACATGTGCTCACTGAGAGGCAGAGACAGAGACAAAGTGAGGAGTCACTTGGGGGACGGCTGTGCTACGAGCCCTTCATGGGGTTTTGGGCATGCACGCACACGTGCCCAGCGTGGGTTTAAAGGCAGTGAACAGTAGGGAACGCTGGCGCCCTGGTGCGTCCTCCCACCGGTTGAAGGGCGGGCACAGGCGTGTCGGTGCCCGGCCCTGCTGGACCGCTGCGCCCTGTTGCTGAATGGGGTGTGGACTAGAGAGCCCGAGAGGCCACCGGGGCGGAGGGGGGGGCCGGAGGAGGGCCGAGCGGATTCCCGCCCTCTCACCCGCCAGGAGTGCGCCGACCCCGAGAACCAGAAGGTGCGCCAGAAGCTGAAGGCCAAGGAGTGGGACGAGCTGCTGGCCAAGGGGAAGAGGTTCCGCGTCCTGCAGCCCGTGAAGATCGGCTGCGTGTGGGCGGCCGACCGCGAGGGCTGTGCGGGCGCCGACTGGAAGGTGCTGCAGCAGTTCTCGGCCTGCCTGCTGGGCACCGCGCCCCCCCAGGAGGAGCCGTCGCCCAAGGCCTCTAGGAGGGAGAAGAGAGACCAGCACAGTGAGTGTCCGCGCCGGCGGGGCTTTTCCGGGACTCCACTCATGTTCAGGGCGGCCGCTAGGCAGGCCCTCAGCCCGCCTGAACCACGGCAGTTTGGTTGCCCGTCCTGGGGGCTTCAGTGCCAACTGGGCCACAGCACAGCGAGGGCTGGAGAGAGGCCTGGGCCGCTCGTCTCCCTGCTGCTCTGGTTTTTGTCCGACGGTTTCTATGTCAGACGGGGAGGGTGTGCCACCACCCCTGTGGACGGCCGTGCCCAACCCTCTTCTCACCCTTCACCCTGCTGGGTTTGGGGCCTGCACGTGCGTGTGTGTTTGAAGCCACCAGGTCTGGGGCTCAGGTGGCACAGCTGGTCGTGAGGGACCTGGCTGCCTGAACCCCTGCCGGGGAGCCGACAACTGGGCTTTCTTTATTGTTTATTTCTTTTTTCCACAAATGAGACAGACAGCCCTGCACCCCCAGCAGGGTCTGCACACCGACCAGCCGGCTCAGTGAGCCCCAGATCACGGGCTCGTGTGCCCCGTGTACTCGGGATGTCTCCACTAGAGCCTGGGGCCTTTGGGCGGGCCGGCCAGGCAGAGCGCTCCTCCCCCGCTTCTGACGCCAGGAGGGGGTGGCCATCCAGGTCAGAGCAGGGGCTGCCAGCCTGAAGCCAACACGGGGACTGGCTGGGGCCACGGCTGTGCCAGCCCGGGTGTCGCCGTGGCCGTGGCCGTGGGCCGGCCTGCAGCAGGGCGGCAGACTCAGCCGTGTCCCTCTGCCCCCAGTCCTGGCCCAGCTGCTGCCCCTGCTGCACGGCAACGTGAACGGGAGCAAGGTCATCATCCGGGAGTTCCAGGAGCACTGTCGCCGCGGGCTGCTGTGCAGGGACGCCACCGGCCCGCCCAGCCCCCCCCTGGCCCGCCCGCACCCGCCCCCCGCCCCACATGCCCTCCAAGGCCAGGCTCAAGCGGATCATCTCCGAGAACTCGGTGTACGAGAAGAGGCCTGACTTCCGGATGTGCTGGTACGTCCACCCGCAGGTGCTGAAGAGCTTCGACCAGGAGCACCTGCCCGTGCCCTGCCAGTGGGCCTACGTCACCACCGTGCCCTCCACCCCCCGCGAGGACGGCGGCCCCCTGCCCGTCCTCACCCCGGGGCCCGGCCAGACCACGCCCGTGTCGCTGAAGCGGAAGGCGGCGGGCAGCATGTGCATCACCCAGTTCATGAAGAAGCGCAGGCATGAGGGCCAGGTGAGCTGCGGGGCCGCGCCTCCTCCCTGCGTCAGGTAGCAGCGGGCGGGCCCCTTCAGAGAGGGAGAGGGCACCCCAGGGGCTGGCCACAGGCAGTCCCTTCTCCCTCCATGCCGTCCAAACTGGGGATATGCACATGTGCCCGGCGTGTTTTTCAAGCCACCAGAACTGGGATTTGAACCACAGTTGGCTGTGTGGATCTGTCTGACTTGACCACTGGGCCGGGGCCGGGCTGCAGCTGTGCTTTTGTTTTCTTTTTTTTCTTTTCAAGAATGACGTATTTATTGGGAACCAGCAGTTGGCGTAATGGCTATGTCGCTGGACTCCCATGTAGTCAACCATGGTTCAAGTCCTGAACCCAGTGGCTTAAACTCACACCGGGCATATGTGTGTGTGTGCCCAAGATCCCGAGAGGAGGATGGAGGAGAAGGGATTGCGGCGTGGCCATCCCCCCAGGGTGATTTCTTGCTTTCTGTCTCTCTGTCTCTGACGAGCACACGTGCCCTAAAGCAAAAACCTCTCTGGGGAAAAAAAATTATGTATTTAATTCTATATTTTTGGAATTATTTTGTTTAACTTTACTTATTTGTTTTAATTTGACCAGAGAGGGAGGTGAGAAAGCCAGCCTCCAGGTCCAGGGCTCACTTGGCGCTCAGCCGGTTGGCGCTCAGCCGTGCGGGAGTCCCTGCCCTTGCCCAGCACACCACTTGCTGGCCCCTGTTATTACTTTTAAATTTGACCAAGAGAGACAGAGAGAGAGAAAGGGGAAGCAAGAAAGCAAGCTGCCAGGTCCAGGACTCGAACCGTTGTCGGCCATGTGGGAATCCGGTGCCTTTTGTGTGTGTGTTGTTTTTTTTGATTGGTTTTTGCTATAGGGCGCGTGCACTTGCCAGACAGACATAGAGACAGAAAGCGAGAAATCACCCCCCAGGGGGGATGGTCATGCCGCAATCCCGTCTCCTCTATTCTCCTCTTGGGATCTTGGGCACGCACGCACACACACCTGGCGTGAGTTTAAGCCACCGGGTCCGGGATGCGAACCGCGGTCGACTACGTGGGAGTCCAGCGACATAGCCAGTGCCTTTAAGTACCATGCCTCCTGTCAGCCCCAGGTGCTTTTGTTTTTGAAGAGATTTTTTGCTATAAGGGTTGAGTGTGCTCGCTGGGGAGACAAAGTGACAAATCACCCGCCAGGGAAGATGGGCGTGCTGCGACCCTTCTCCATTCTCCTCTCGGGATCTTGGGCAGGCCTGGGATTCGAACCGCCGTCGGCCTTGTGGGAGTCCAGTGACGTAACCGTTACGCCGTCTGCGGCCCCACAGCAGTGCTTTTTAATGGACCTGACATTGTGGAGCGGTTTCAGGTGCACAGCACATCGAGGGAAGGTCGTGTTCCCAGGTGTCCCTGAGGGGGCCCTCTTGGGGCTGGGTGTCATGGGCTCGTGCTGGACGAGGACTCGGATCTCCCTGTCACGGTGTCCTACGGGGGTCTCACTGCCTCGCGGCCACACAGATGGGGCTTTGCTGCCTCGAACTTTCTTCCTGAGCCGCCACCCGGGGGAGGCCCCAGAAGGACTTCCTGAGGGCCACAGGCGGCGGCCACCTCTCCCTGGGGCCCCGTGCCTGCAGGGCAGTCCCATGCCCGTTGCCCAGACTCGGCACTCCCCCAGGACGGTGGGTTTGCCTTGGGGTCTTCAGAAAGTGCACAGGGCGGGGCCAGCAGGAGGTGCAACGGGTAAGGCACTGGATTCCCACGTGGCCGACGGCGTTTCAGGCCAGTGGCTGCGAAACCACGCCGGGCACCTGTGCGTGTATGCTCGATTCCCGGACCGGGACGGCCCGGCCACCCCCGGGGGTGGCTCACTTGCTCTTTCTCCGTGTCTGGCCGAGCACACCCCCATGACAAAGACCTGAGCGAAGAACCCCAGGAAGTGTGTGGTGGAAAGCTGCACAGGCCTGCTCGCCTTTGTGGTTCTTCAGTGAGCTCCCGGGCCGTCTTCCTGCCAGCTTTTGAAGCCTCTTGCGTGTCCAGGCCGGGCGTGGCTGGCTGGGCCAGAGACTGGAGCTCCCCTCTGACATCAGCCAGGCCTGCAGGATGCCCTGCACGAGCTCCAGGCGGGCTTGGAGGTGGCCCAGAAGCCCTCCCCTGGGAACTCCTGACCCTGCCTGTCCCCCAGGGCCTCTGACCATGGCAGTTGTGGCACCTTGTCCGTGGACCGCCGAGGTCCGGGGCCTGGCTGCATGCCGAGCATGGCTCTGACCCCCATGGTGCTGTCCTGGTCGTGCGCATGACCTGCTTTAGCCTGTAGGGACCCTCACCCCATGGCCCAGGCAGGTGCAGGTTTGTCTCCACAGACTAGTACTGGGCCTGGCCCATGGCACCAGCAGCTGTGGCCTGGCCCCTGCTGCCCATGGGGAGGGGCAGGCACGCGGGGCGTTTCTCCAGCCACCAGATCCACATGACCCAAGCAGCTGTGTGGGGCCCAGCCAGCCGAGGGCCTCTGCTCCTCTCCCCACCCCGACCTCTGTCCAGAGTCCCCCATGTGTTGTCCCTGGCAGGGCGGGGTTTAGCGTCAGGCAGAGGGAGCCGAGCCGTGGTAGAGGTGGCCCAGAGAAGGCACTGCCGCTGACCTCTGGTTACTCGAAATCCGTGCAGACGCGGGCACCGAGTCCCTGCCCCTTCTGTTTGAGCTCTCTGCCCTAGGGCATGGCACACACCCCGGGAGATGGCTATGCCGTGCCGCAGTCCCTTCTCCACGGGATTCGGGCACACACAGCTTATCTTAGGCTCAGCCTAGGACGGAAACCGCAGGCAGCTCCGTGGGACGCAGTGCCTAAACCGCTGTGCCACCCGCTGGTCTGGGGACCCTTTGGTTCCCAGGGACACAGGTCTCGTGGCATGGCAGGTGGCGAGGTGACATCCAGTCAGGACTTGCTCGATACGGGAGCCCCCAGAGGGCCTCAGCCTGCAATGGCTTGGTGACCGTGTGACTGGGCGGGGTGGAGGCCCTCGGGTCCATGCGCCAGGAGGGGCCCTGCTGACACCCTGCACCTTCTCTGCCCAGCTTGGTGCAGACACGGACGGCTTCCAGGCAGACACGGAGGAGGAGGAAGAGGAAGAGAGCGACTGTGTGGTCATGGACATCCCAGATGTCGGGGGTGAGCGGCTCCAACAGCCCCTGCTCATGCAGCCTGGCAGGGAGGGTGGGAAGGCCGGGCCGGGTGACCGTGAGTCCAGGCAGCTCCTCCAGTCGGCCCCATGTTGCCTCGGTCTGAGAAGCCACGTTTAAGACTCCAGCCGGTTGGAGGTGGGGGTCAGTTACTGGCAACGAGGCAGAGAGTGGGTGGGCTGGCAGGGGGCGTCCAGCGACTGGGGAGGGTATGTGGGCCAGTCTTCCGAGTGCGGGAAGGACCTGCCATGGCATGCTGCAGCCTCACCCTGCAGCCAGAGGCTCTGTGAGGGTGGGGCCCATGTGCGCAGGAGGCCCTGGGGCGTGGGCCTGAGGACCCGCGGCCTGCTGGCTGTGATGGCCACAGCAGCCACCTTGGGGTGGCCTGTTGCTGCCAACCACGCCCTCCTGCCCTCCCAGGAGCCCCTACCATGGTTCCAGTGGTACCTGGGTGTCTCGGGGCTGTGACATCTCACACGTGCATGCGCTCTCTGGAAGTGCAGGGGAGCACCCATCGGGCTCCTCTTCCTGCTCCACCCTGCCGGCACTTGCGCAGGAGCACTGGCATGTTCCAAGCCCCCAGGGCCGGCCGTGAGCCACAACTGGCTGTGCGGGACCAGGCTCCCTCCGTCTGGTTCTGGGCTGGGCAGGGGTGAGGAGGCGCAGGTGGGCTTCTGGGGTGATCTCTGCAGAGCGACAGCAGATGCCCCAGCAGGAGGGGTGCACTCGGGGTGCAGACAAGTGGGGCGGGGGCTGGCAAGAGGGCTTTGCTCTCTGGAAGGGGGACCTGCAGGAGCCCGGTGGGCACGGCCAACCCAAGACTCCTCCCTCTTGCCTTCCAGAGGTCCAGGCGCCATGCGGAACCTCTCCTGGAGCTGGGGGTGCCGTGCACATGGACGCCAGCGAGGGCTCCCTGCCTGCCAGCCCGCTCCGCGCCTCCTGAAGGCGACCCAGCGAGTGTCCAGCCGGCTGTGCTGAATGCGTTGGGTCTCCGACACGGGTCACTGACACGAGGGACCGCCAACTCCCGCAGAAAGAGCACTTTGTCGCGCCACACAGACCTCCCGGAGGTTTGGGAGGGTCTCCGGAGGGCGCCTGGTTAGTTGGCGTCTGTAAAGGGCCCCGAAGAGCCACGTGCTAAGCTGCCCTTTGATGAAGCATTACTGCAGTGCACGGCCGGGGGGCCTGCGGGCCGTGGCAGGGTGGGCTCAGATGCTTGTAAAGGGACTTGGACCCCCAGGGGCGCCGGCCGGCCTCTGGACCCCACACGGACATGTATAAACTGTTCTCACCCCAGCGCTGCCTGCCTTTTTCTGCGCTTGTTCCCAGAGCGGGGTGTGTGTGTGTGGGTGTGTGTGACATGGGGATGCTGCCACCTCCACTCCACAGCCATTGCCCAGGCTCACCCCTCTTTCTCCCCGGGGGATGTGTCCCAGGTGGTCTGCCTACCATGACCCAGGAGCAGGACTTCTGCTGTGTCCTGGGCCCGAGGCCCTGTGTCCCAGGGAACCTGGTTCTTGAGTTCCCCGGCTGCCCCTTGGCCAGGCCTGGGGGGAGCTGAGGCTGGGGCGTGTCCCGTGTTAAATGAGTTCACGGCCCCCTCCTCTACCAGTCTTCCCTCCTGCCTGTCCTTGTGTGGCTGGCTCTGCCCCCAAGGGAGGGCCACAGCCAGTGTCCACAGGGCCCTTTGGCCCAGCCACACGGACGGCCTTGCCCTCACCCAGGCTCCCGCACCTAGTGACACCCTGCTTTCCCTCAGGCCTGAGTGGGAGCCCCAGACCCGGCCCATGTGACGGGCTGAGGTGGGCCCATGATGGCTGGTGAGCAGGAGCCGCCCCTGCAGGGCCCATACCCTCCTGGACACGACTCCCCTCCCTGGAGCTGCGGCCCAGGGCATTAGGGACCAGGGTGACAGGTGACAGACATCGAGTTCTCTGTAAGGGGAGGTGCAGAGCCACCTCTGGAGCCCTGACCCACAAGTCCATCAGGGACAGTGGAAGGGGCCACCGCAGGTGCCCTGGGGAACACCCTGAGGGGGGCACTAGCACCCTCGCTCAGACCCTCCATGGGCTGAATGGAGGGGTGGCAGGGCCAGGGCTTTCTCCAGCTGCAGTGGGTGTGTCCCCCTCTTCCAGCATCTAGAGGTGCCTGCACCCCTCCACCGAGGACCCTGGGGGGACGCAGGGCCTGCGCAGGCCTCCAGCCCAGTCCTGAACCCCACCCAGTCTGCAGTGTCCTCTGCTGCACAGTGACAGCCAGCTCGGGTCATCCTGGTGACCAGAGTGAAGCCAGGCCTGGGTGTGGTGCCTTCCAGACCGCACGGCGCAGGGGGGGTGCCCAGGCCAGGTTCAAGCAGCCCATTTATTGGGGGTCACAGTCCAGCAGTAACATCTGTGCTGACAGCCAGTCTCACCGTCCTGCCGTCTCCGAGCAGACGTGCCAGAACTCTGGCCCAGGGACACGACGTGTTGCCCCGGGCACCAGAACAGGACCCCAATCACTGCTCCCACGGTCCGCCCCACGGCCAGCGGTCGCCTCCTGCCCAGGGGCCCGACCCTGCCTTTATTAGGAGAGCTTCTCAATGGCCGACAGCAGCTCGGGCTTCAGGACGGAGGCTGGCTCCGCCCCTGCAGCCCTCATGTCCTCCAGCACCGCGGAGTCCCAGGAGAAGGTCAGCAGAGCCGAGGGCGCCTGCGGCAGGGTGGCCCCAGCGTCACCTCGGCCGGGTCTGCAGTCCGCCTGCCATTCCCCGCCCAGCCCCTCCTCTCCCCTGTGAATCCCGCACATCTGGGAGGTAAACGGAGGCACAGAGCAAGGGGGCGGTGCACAGGCTGCGGCAGAGGAGCGAACGAACCCTGGGGAGCCCACGGGCCCACCGCCAGTGCCCGAGCCGCTCACCAGCCCGCACTCGTTCAAGGCCAGGTCCTCG